TAGAGTGAAGAACAAAAGGACAGCAACTTGTCTGTTCCCCTACCCTGATTCCCCAACGCTGTCCCCCTCCCCCAATTCCCTAATAAAATCTTTTTTAAAAAAAGAAAAGCATTGCAAAATTCCCCTTAAATTAGTAAAATTATGGGATTCAGACAGTTGCTGTGTACCATGTCCTAATGTGTCCTATTTACATACATGTTCAAAATCAGAAATTGACCAAAGACATTAGGGTTCTTTAAGATGTTTCAGTCGACTTCAACTCACTCAGGTTTACTGAGCAGTGTACTCCGGAGTTTAGGGGAGGTGTGTGTTTGAAATATACAGTACCTTAAGAAACTGAAAGATGTTTGAAAGAAATAATGAAGGCAGTTGTTTCCCAGAGTATGTTTAGAGGAACACTAGTCATGATGAATGTCCAGAAAGTCAAGTTCCCATGGCCAAACAAGTTTGGGAAGCACTGCATATTCTATGTTCTTTTGGAGAGCAACAATTGATGTCAGCATATTAAAAACTCTGAAAGGTCCCATGGTTAAGAAACATACTTAACTTTATTTTACCTGGATTCTCAAATGCCCTGATCTTTGAATAAGAACCTGGTACCGACCACAGAGCACATCCTGAGAAACCCCAGGCTGAGATATTTATGATGCTCCAAATGAACTATGATAGGAAATTCTGTTTCTCATTTGGAAGTGTACCATATAGATAATCCAATAGAAATTGTATGCTTTTATTATTTTAGATTTAGAAATGAAAATGTAAGAATTGCATCTTTATGACAAATGGAAAATGAATCAGATTTGCTTGACTTGCCCAGTGATTTTTAATTTTTAGAATCTTCTATATAAACTAGCGATTATATAATTATATCCATGCAATAATGGATAATGAGCAGTTTTTTAAATGAAAAAAAAATCCCTAAAGTAATTATTGGATAATGAAAATAAATTAATTCATTTCAGTACTTAAAGAAGGAAAATTACTGTGATCCCTGAAGGCAGTGTATATGCATATGTAGGTTCTTTCATGTAAAAAATTACAACACAAAAATGGTGAAATATTGAGACAATGTGGCACCCACTTCCTTTTCTCCTATAAATTCAGTCTTACAGCTTAAGATGGTACATTTCCAGAGAGGCTGGTAAGCAGATGTTTCATAGCTAGTAAAAGATGGGATTAGGATTCAGGCCAACTACTCTTATCTCTGAGGCCCACACACTTAACCCCTAACTAGCTGCAGCCAGTAAAAAAACAAATTTAGTAGAGAGAATATTTCTTCCTTCTCTGCTATTCTTCCTGCTGCCACAACCACCCAATAAAAGTAAATTTGTGTTGTAGAATTCTAACATGCCATCTTAAATACTCTACTGTTGGAGAAGACTTTGCTAAACTATATTCCACTTGGAATATTTCATATTAGCATTGCAGAAGTGCTCTCTTTTACTACAGTGTTAAAATTGCTTTGTACTTTTAGGCCCCACCTGTACAAAAATATTCACAATAACAGCTGGTGTTATTTGTGAAGAAAATAGCTGCTATTGATGACCATGCACTTAATCTAGTTGATTCTATGAAGACAGACTGTTAATACAGCCCACAAACCATAAATTGATCATGAAGTAGTTTATTTAATGCATATTTATAGACAAATGCTTAGGTTTTCATAATGGTCATTGTGGCATAGAATTGTAAATGTGTCATAAAATTTAGGTACTTGCTTTTTTGATGTGAGAGATCTTATACTGAACGTTCAGAATAAAATTGGGAAATCGAGTATATAAGAGAATAACTCCTCTGATTTATAACGTTTCATTCCCTGTTAATGTTGCTTAATCACAGTTTGCTATCTGAATGTAGGGTGTGCCTAAATGTAATTACTGAGTCTTTTCACAAAGTTAGTCCTGGAAAATTAATTGCCACAGTCAATAGTAAAATAATCATAAAAATAAACTTTCAAATTTTATTTAAAATGTAAAGATACTTTTGACAGAAAATGTAATTAATTTTGGAAATGATGAAGGAGGAGATTATTTTTTATAACTGAGACGCGACCAAACAGTAAGACTTTGGAGCATGCTTGTAAGCTTCTGTGTTCTGACCCCTCCTCTGAAGAGATCAGTGTTCTGAGGACTTAGAAGCTCTTTTTCTCATGGTAGGGAGGATTGGCTGCTGTTGGATGGATATTTCAGGCAGGTTTTACTATTTTTTTACCTTCCTGATAACTAAGGCATTGCTGAAACAGCCTTTCCTGAGTATTGAGAAGTGCTCTACCTGACATTTGGACTTTGGCACATCCTCCAGGATAATACGTGTGTACTTATGCCAAGTGATTGCCCATATAATGTGCAGCACAAAGTGCTAGAGTGCCTGGTTCACAACAGGCCAGCTGTATAGACAGAGCACCTGAAGGAGCCCATCCTGTGCTTGCAGGCAGCCCACCAAGTTCTCCATGCTAAGGCCTCCGTATCTTATCCTCCCCACTGCTGCATTTATCCCATCGTGTGTTTGGATACAGCTCCTTCCAGTTTCTGTTCACTTTCTGTCTCCCCCAACGATATGACTGATGCAACAAATATTTTATATGGTGGCTGCCACCATTCTGGGCACTGAGGCAGCACAAAGGATTCCATCAGCTTTCTTGGCTGACCACACAGACCAAGTAACCCATTTGTTAAATATACAAGTGTTCTGTTCAAGAAACTAATTTAATTTGTTTTAATTATAGTTAACTCTCTTGGCTCCAGCTTAACTGAACACCACCAAATCCACCTTGACTTTAGAGCAAGTGATGATTTTTTTTTCCTTATCAATTAAATTCTGACATAATCTAAAATTCTCAACTTAGCTTGAAAGCTAGATTTGTGGACCCAGGCTGATGGTAAGGATGTCATAAATGATATTTTTAGAATTTTGCTATGGTCTTTTAGAATATGTCTGATTACAGAATATGGGGTTAGATATTTCTGCAGTGGGAAAAAGACAATTGATACAAAAGGAAAAAGGAAGAATTTATCTCAGAAATAAGTGAAATGTAGCAATAATTGCTGTTTGACCATTTATAATGATGGTGTCATTTACATATTTTGAGCCTTGCATAGTCATAGAGAAAATATTCATTTATTTCATTAGTCAATACCAAAGACCAGTTATATAATAATGTAATGATACCTGTGGCATCTTATAGAAATCTGTTTAATTTAAAATTTTTAACTGACTCATTTATATAAGGTCAGTTCTTTTAACACTTGCCTAATGTTCTTTTATGGTCTTCAAAATACACTGAGTATAATTTTTTAAAATTATCCATTGGCAGTTTTACTCTTGGGAACCAAAAGTAGGTGTCATGAAAATCTCTGACCTATACTCCTGAATAAATAAGCACTGAAGTACACAAACATTCTGAAATCAAATCATCCATTTTGTTTGTTTGTTTTTACCATTTTTGAACAATATGATTTCAGTTGTATTGCATACTTTATTGTCTTTTAAATGATACATAGTGGAAATTTAACTTTTTGAGTACTGCATGCCTAGCATAAAGCTTTATGTACGGGGATATCTGATATGTTAGAAATCTCCTTTCCTTTTAAATGTGATGTAATACAGCATTGTTTCAGAGACCGCTGATATTTGAAGGTCTGCTTGCACTTCTAGAAAGGATCCCAGATGTTGTCTTTTTGTAATTGATGATGATTCTATCTGCTTTCTCACTGTCTTATGCCACTGCTTAGGACAAAGTGGTTTAAACCCTTCTTCCTCACTCCACATTTTCTCTCTGAAACACCAGAACTTAAGGTCCCCAGAGAAAATGAGATAACTACCTTGAACATTGTTAACCTCATTTTTAAACCCAGATTTCTCTGTAGACTCTGGCCAGCAAAGTTCTGAGGGCTCTGATACTCAGCCGGAGCCTCATACCTTTGTGTCTTGAACAGGTATTTTTCTATACATGTTGTGAGCTTTCACCTTTCCTTTTCTATTAAAGCTTCTGACTCCAGCTTCAAAGATATGTTTTCCATGACATAGACAAGTCATTTCATCTCTCTATGCCTCAGGTTCCTCATCTATAAAATGGGGATGTTAACAGTGTCTACCTCATCAGATTGATGTGAGGATTGACTTAATATTTGTAAAGTTCTTAGAGCATAGTAAGGGTTGAATAATTTAAGAAAAAGATTAACCACTGGATAAGTGGCTCTTCAAACTTCTTAAAGAAAAGGAAAGATCTGAGAAGATGCTTCTGGTGTGGGGTGATTGATACTTTCTTTTCCTAAGTGGAGTGATGTGGAGGAATTTGTATCTGAAGAAGCAGAACCGAAAGGTATTTCCTAAAATAGTTACAAGAAATGCTGGCCATGAGCCTGGGTCCTAAATGAATGAAGTAATATATGGAAAAGATGTTCACAGCAACTCCTTTGGGGCTCTTCATAGTAGTTTTAAAAGGAAACAAGAGAGAGAAACTGGAAATATATGGGGATGGAGGGAATTGAGGGCAGAGCTTATGCCAAGAGTTAGCAGTTTTCTTCTGTGTCTAACAAAGGCTAAAACAGAGTGATTCTCAGAGAAGATTATATATTATACATATATAAATTTTCTTAAACACCTGTCTGGCTGTTGTGTTTTCCTCAGCTTCTTCCGTGGAGAAGAGCACAGGCCATCTGTTTTGTTAAAGAAAGCAGATACCACCTTTGTATGGCATGTGCAAGGGGGTGCTGTTCTGGCCACCATGAAGCTTGGAACCCCTCCATGTTGTCCCCAGGTGCTTCTTGGGAGTCCAGAAGGTAGAAAACTTCCTGTGCCCTCAGCTTGTCTCTTCCTGACTGTGCGTGGACAGGGCCTGGCCCTAACATTCCTGGCACAGGGCTTGGTCGCTCTGTCACTCCAATGGCTGCCCTTTGCCCCGGCTCCCCGGGCCGGAGGCAGCTCGGTTATAATTTGCTCTTACTTTCTGAGGTGCGGCCCTGTCAAACTGCAGCGAATGTTTATCTTGTAATCCACAGACAAGAAGAAGGGAGGCAAATTCCAGCCCTTTAAGAAGTTGTTTGGCAAAAGGAAAAAGAAAGACACCTCATTGTCCCGGGAGACATCAGCAGGAAAAAAGAGTCACTCTCCCCAGAGTGTCAGCAATGGGACCTTCTCTTCTGACGAGGAGATCCTGGAGGACAATCTAAGGTAATAACTCACACTTTTTTTCCCAGATCTTTGGTGGAGTTACTGGGTGGGGAATGGGATCCCAAAGGAGGCAGGAGCGGAATCACAGGTGTGTCCTACCTCTGGGAAGGTGTAAGACTTGGGGTACTTGGTGTGTTCTGTGTGGAGAAGTCACTTGAACAAGTTAGCAAATGAGTCTGGCCTCACTTTCTGGGAGAGCACTGTACCTTCATTTTACTGCCCTCACTGGTGGCAGAAGGCAGCATATCACTGGCTTGGATCAACAAGTTCCCTTGGATTGAAGGAGACCTCATTTCCATGTCCCATTGTTTGGCAAAGAGAGAGGGTGGTCATAGGTTAGATTTTATACCCATGCCAAGGACGCAGACTGCTCAGGCACCTTTCATACCCCTGGACATCCCTGGAAACTTCCAGAACCTGTCTGCAATGAGCTTTCAACTCCCACTCTTTGTTTTCTATGTTTCTCTCTTCTTTCTCCCTCTCTTAGAACAAACATAGGCACTAAATCTGGCCATGACAGACAGTGTCAAGAACTCAGAAAAGCAGTGTCAGGAGGTACTTTCTCACCTCTGTGCTGGGAACCGAAGTCAGAGTCAGAGATGGTTAAATTCGGCTACTGACAGCTTAGAAGTCAGCTTCTCGGAGAAGCCCTTGCCCACTCCCTGATCTGATTTGTTTGCCCTTGCCTGCATTCCCCTAGCTCCACATGCCTGGCCCCAGCAGGCACTTGTCCTTTCTATGGAAATTATTGATTTTCTTGTCTGTCTTTCTCACTCAACTGCCAGTTCCATGAAGTCAGGGACTAGGTTTTATTCAGCCTCATCTTTTGGTGCTCAAAAAATGTTTCTTATGAAGGCCTGGCACTGCATAAATTGCCCCAATACAGTACAGCAAGTCCTTGAATGATGTTTCTTTCAACATTGTTTCATTATATAACTGATGAGAAGCAGAAAAAAAAGTGATTACCCGCCAGACCACTGTCTGTATCGTTTGCAATTCTCCTCATGTCTGCGTGGATTTTCTCCAGGGACTCTTTTATTTCCCTCCACGTCCCAAAGATACGCACCTTAGGTGAACTGGCATGTCTACATTGTCCCAGTCTGAGTGAGTGTGGGTGTGGGTGTGAGTGGCCCTGTGATGGAAGGGGGACCTGTCTAGGGTTGGGTCCCACTTTGTGCCCTGAGCTGCCTGGATAGGCTATGGCCATCTGCGACCCTGAACTGGAATAGCTGAGTTGGAAAAGAATGAGCTTACTCATTTATTAATCTTTTCTAAACATATGTATAGCTTACATTTATTTCAGTGTTTAATATTAGAAGTGTTTGGGGTCTTTATTTAGAAGTTTGGTGATGTTTTTGTGACCAGAAATATGGAACTTAACTCTTGTTTATATAGTTAGCCTATAGTAAAATTGGTTTCACTATGTCTTGTTTTGCTTAAAGTTGCAGTGTCTAAGAACTTACCGATGATGTGATGTTAAGTGAGGACTCACTGTACATGTTGAAGGAATAAATGATATAATCTGTGATATTCTTGCTGTGTTTGAAGGACAAGGACAAAAACATCCTCTGTGATGTGTGGCAGTCAGCAGATTCTAATAAACACTACAGCTGATCACAAATTACAGAATCCTCAGTCAAGTAGTGTATGTAAGCTCTACAGTGCTTACCTATAGCATTTATTGGTCCTAATTAATACTGAGTCTCCCTCGACAGAACTCTATTTGTTTTCCATTGTCTTTAGTAAGAAAACTATCACATTGAACTGAAGGGAATTCTTTCAATGAAAGGAGAATGCAGCTAGCACTGAGCTCATCCAATTGTTGGAATGTCAGTACTGACACATAGTATTGTCCAGTATGAATCAGTTTTGATTTTTCAGTTTCTTCAGCTGTAAAACAGGAATGTGAACCTTTTTGTCTCACAGTATCAGAATGAGGTACAGATACTACAATGTGACCAAGTAGCTCTTTAATGTAAAATGAGATTAAGCCTAAAAAGTTCTCCTTTGGAAGGACTGTCCTATGAAAACATAGCTCATCCTTTTTATGGATTTGCCAAGTCCCTGGTTTCTTATTGAATTGTGCCTGGACCCTGGTTGTTCTTTTCCCATTGAAGTTCTATTCCATTTACCCCTTGGAGTTTCTTTAAGGTTTTAAATTTTACAAACCTTGGAACATTCCACATTGGATCAAACAGCTACATTTCTGTAAAATTTAGGTAATGTCACCTGGCTCTTGTTGATAAACCTACATTTATGAGACATATGCTGTATTTTAATTAACACTTGTTTTTATAATAAATGAAGCTGGAAGGATAAGTTTTGGATGAAGAGTTTTTAAAAATGTCTCTAAATATTTTTAAAATTTAAAAAATGGGAAAATATTTAAAATATTTATTCCCCAAATATTCAAACTATTGAAGGAAAGCAATTACCAGCTGAGATAATATAGCCTGTGAAGTTATCCTTTAGATATGAAGGAGACCTTCCCAGATATACAGAAGCTGAGGGAATTTTCCAACACAAGGCCTGAATTACAGAAATACTGAAAGAGGCTATTTGACCTGAATCAAAAAGACAAAAGTATATAAAACAATGAGCAAGGCTACTATCAGACACACAGAAGCACAAAATGGCAACCCCTACACAGAATAGGGCACTATACACTTAAACATAACATAAACAGTAAAGAAGATAAAAACATAAAAAAAAAGAAAAAGAGGGCCGGCCGAGTGGCGCGTTGGTTAAGAACTGGCTTGGGACGCCAGAGGGCCCCGGTTCGGATCCCACATATGANGGCGTAGGCTGCAGCCCCTGTGGCAGTGGGTTGCCATGGGCTACCGTGTGTAGCCAGCAGCCCGTGTGAGCGGCCAGCAGCCACAGTGAATGGCTGTCCAGAAGCCGGTGACTGATGTTCCTCGCCCCGGAAGAGCGCAGTGATGGTGCCAACTTGGGCCAGTGAAGCAACGTCCTCCACAACTAGACTGAAGAACAAAAATGCCAGCAAAATGTCTGTTCTCATCCCCCAACTCCCTAATAACAATCTTTAAAAAAAGAAAAAGAAGACAGTTTGCTACTGCAACCCAAAAATCAACTCAAAACATAAACAGGGATAATTTGTGACAACAAAAACATAAAAGGGGAGGGAATAAAGCTCCGAATTTGCTAATGGGAACGGGGATAAGATTTATGCTGAAGAGAAAGGACTACTGTATATAAGAAACTTTCTTTTACATAAAATTAATGGTAACCACTCAAAAAAAAATCCAGAACTGAGAAACAGTAACATAAAAAAGAGGAAACAGAGAGAAAAAATCATAGAATACCACCAAACCAAAATAACAGACAGAAATACAAAGGCAAAGGAACAACGGAGGCACCGAGCTACCAGAAAAGACAAAAGAGCTGTAGGAAGTCCTCATATATCAATAACACCCTAAATGTAAATGGACTGAACTCACCAATAAAAAGGCACAGAGTAGCAGACTGGATCAAAAAACAAAACCCAGCCATAGACTGCCTCCAAGAGACACATCTTAGCTACAAGGACAAATGTAGACTCAGAATGAAAGGGTGAAAATTGATACTCCAAGTGAATGGAATCCAGAGAAAAGAATTAGTATTCATAATTATATCTGATGTAATAGACCTCAGAATAAAAAAGGTAATGAGACAAAAATGGACACTTCATAATGATAAAGGGGGCAAAACAACAAGAAGACATAACACATCAATATATATGCTCTCAGTCAGGGAGCACCAAAATTTATAAAGCAACTACTCACAGAACTAGAGGGAGAAACTGACAGAAACACAATTATAGTAGGGAACCTAAATATGCCATTGACAGCTATGGATAGATCATCCAAACAGAAAATCAGTTAGGAAATACATTAGACCAATAATTTACATTTACAGAGCATTTCATCCTTGAATACCAGACTACACATTCTTTTCTAGTGCACATGGAACATTCTCAAGGATAGACCCTATGTTGGGACACAAAACTGGCCTCAGCAAATTTAAGGAGATTGAAATCATACCAAGCATATTCTCTGACCACAAGGCTTTGAAATGGGAGATCAACTGCAAAAAGAAAGTGGGGAAAAAAACACAAATACATAGAGATTAAACATGCTATTAAAGAACAACTGGGTCAAAGAAGAAATAAAGGAGAGATCAAAAGATACACAGAAACAAATGAGAATGAAAATACATTATATCAAAATTATTGAGATGCGGTGAAAGCAGTATTAAAAGGGAAATGTAGTGAGTGGCCGTCCAGAAGCCGGCGACAGATCTGCCTCGTCCGGGAAGAGCACAATGATGGTGCCAGCTTGGGCCAGTGAAGCGGTGTCCTCCACAACTGGACTGAAGACCAAAAGGACAGCGACTTGTCTGTTCCCCTTCCCCAATTCCCCAATAAAAAAAAAAATCTAAAAAAAACAAAACGGAAATGTATATCATTACAGGCCTATCTCAAGAAACAAGAAAAATCCCAAGTAAACAACCTAACATTACATCTTAATGAACTAGGAAAAGAAGAACAAATGAAACCCATAGCCAGCAGAAGGAAGGAAATAATAAAAATTAGAACAAAACTAAGTGAAATACTTTAGTATAAGGAATATAATCAATAATGTGGTAATAACCCTGTATAGTGCCAGGAGGGTACTGTTGAATAACTATGATGTACACCAGAAACTAATATAATATTGCATGTTAGCTATATTTTAATAAAAATCTTAAAGAAAACTAAGTGAAATAGAGAACAAAAAGACAAAAGATAAAATTAATGAAACAAAGAGCTGGTTCTTTGAAAAGATTAATAAAATGGACAAACTCTTGGCTAGACTTGCTAGGGAAGAAAAGAGAAAAGACACAAACTAGAAATGAAAGAGGAGAAGTTACAATGAATACCACAGAAATACAAATGATCATACAAGAATACTATGAAGGAATATATGCCATCTAATTGAATAGCCTAGAAGAAATGAACA